ACACTATTCAGTGCACACAAGTCTTGGGTAAGATTAATATAATAATAGTATTAGGCATGACTTTGTGTGTGTAGAATTTTTCCAGTTTTATATATAATATTTTGTTACCACTAAGGCAAAGTTAAACTTAAAGACAGTTTGTTTTTTTAGAACTAGTGTAGGTAATAAGACATAACAGAAGGTTCCACCAGTGTACATGTGTTTTAATGCTGCTTGGGGGTAAAAATTATTGGGGTAAAAAAATTGGCATACTTTCTCATATGTTAAACATGTTTTGAATGTTGCAGCCATATGCTAGACCACCAGCTACCATGCCCTTTGTAAATATACAGTAATGTAAATGTTTACCATAGAAAGGGTTAGCTGTTTGCGGTTGGTTGGTAATTCTGTTAATGTGACTGTGTGAGCAAGGTGTGCTTAAGACAGGTGGGCTGGCAGAAGCTGATGGTAAGATATAATCTTTTAAAGGGTTAGGCTCCTCCAAGTTAAGATTATACTTCTCCAGATTTAAGTCACTGTCTGCACACGTAAGAATTGCACCAAAAGGTCTAGAAACAAGAAAGTGTCATTGAGCCTTACACTTAATGATTCTAAACATGCTACAAATGTATTTTGTAGTGGCAACTTGGCTTCTGTGTCAAACTTAGAAGTTTATATTGTTTTGGAGGCCTTTACTGTGTATAGACTGTGCTCTTTAGGGCTTGAAATTCATTTTTGGGAATAGGTGCACTGGTGCACCCAATCTGAAAAATTGGGTGCACAAAAAATATTTTAGGTGCACTATATATATATAATTATATAAGATTATTAAAGTAGTAGAATGTCAACAAAAATTATGTTTCATTCCAAGAAAAGCACTTTGACAATGATTGTATCATTTTTTCTGACACTTAGATGTTAAGAATATGCTGTAACTAGAGGTCGGAGATCTCATGTCTTCGTCAGAGGTACATCGTTCTAGAGAAATTAACATGCGTATTCTTCACTCTTTTTAATAATCAATTTGGTCTAAAGAACAAAAGAATCTCTGTACTATTTTTATGGTACAGAACACCATGAAACGGTTTGCCGCAGATTATACAGATGCGTCGTCACCCGTGTTAGCCCCCCCCCCCCCCACGTTATTTGAGTTTGGACTGTTACCAAGTTACTGGGGGAAAAAAACGTTCAAGAAATTCTTACTGTGTTGAAAGTGTCACGACAGCGCCGCAAAATATAATAAGAGAAGATGTTATAAAGGAAAGAATCAGAACAGGGTGACTACTGCTGTTTTGTTAATTTGTCTTGATGACAAATAGAAGACTTGTTTCTTGTGTTCTTTGTGTCCTAACATTTGTACTTCTACAGTTAGTATATTCCAAATCTAGGCATCTCGTTTTTCGGCCCTTCGTGTTTTTATTGCGCGCTTGCCTTAAATTTAAGGTAATTAGATTTAAGGTCTCCAGTGGACGTCATCCATAGCAATTACTTGGTGTGGCCGTAGAAAATAACCTGACATATGTCCAACCTATCCTCCCCCTGCTGAAGTTATAGTACAATCCCTCAATGTAACGTCATTTGATCCCATCCCATTATGGGGTTCCCCCGGCTATATCCAGCTGTCGGCTGTCTCCAAGCAGATGTAGGTGGGGGATTTCTAAACACAAAAGGTCCTATTACGGGGACATAACGACCTCCACGACTCTCATCTTTGAACTCAATCTTGGAGACCACGACAGTAATATGCCTATCAAATTTCATTAACTTCCATCCACACATACAAAAGTTATCCTGCTCACAAGAAAAATTAACAAAATGCCCCCTGTAGTCACAACAAAACCCCCCACGAAGCTCAGTAACGAACTTAACCTTGTTCCCGACAATAGTAAGCACCACACCAAGAATTATAATCAACATTTTACAAATACTTGAGTTATCTTGCTAACAAGCCACAAACACAAAAGGTGCACTAACGTGACGCACGGACCCCCCACGAAGCCGAAACTTGTACTTGACTTCGGCCTCAACAGCGGTAATATGCCTGCCAAAAACCATGGACGTCGAATCATGCCTTCCAGAGTTATATCGCAAAATCCGCAGTTCCCCACACTCCGGCGAGACAATTTCATAGTCCTTCTGACGAAGACAACTACGTATACTATACATCCTTATATACGTTAAACCTAAGAAACCAGGGCACCCACAGAAAAAAATTGGGAGCACACTCAGGGCTCGAAATACTGGGTGCATGTGCACCTCAGTGCACCCAAAATTGGAGCTGTGCACCCAATTTGTTTCTGTGCACCCAAAATTTTTGTTGGCATTTTTGTACATATTAAATGTATAATAGTATACAGTATATAATTTTTGGCATCTAAGTGTCAGATAGAATAATAAAATCTTTGTTGTAGTACTTGCTTAAGACTTTGAAGTTAGCTCCCACTTCAGATTCAAGCTTTTAAGAGAAGCAGCAGTAAGATCTGTAATTAGTTATGTTTTGTACGGTGCACCCAAAAATTTTTGTGCACCTAATCTTTTAGGTTGGGTGCACCAGTGCACATATTTCCAAAAATGAATTTCAAGCCCTGACACTAATGTGCACATGCACCGAGTATTTCCAGCCCTGGCTCTTGTTCTCGAAGGTTCTATTCAAACATTGTACGGGTGATGCTTGACCTTATTTTCACCTGCTGTTAAAGATCCAAAGTCTATGTTTGTCTTAGTACACCTGCTAATGCCACAGGTTCACTGTAAATGTTAAACATTGATAGGCTCCTGCAATCACCTACTATTAAGTTTGGAGGCGGGTGTTATTTTTCAATAGATTATTTATGTATGAATACACTATCAGTAGCAATCTTTTGCAGAATATCAGTTTTGCAACATGATTTTAAAATACTACTAGTAGTAATACCATTGCATTCCCTATACTATTTTTAGGTATTTCAGTTCAGCATTTATATATATTTTTGGCATAAATATTGGGAGATTAGCACACCAAGCAAGGCAGGCAATTATTGAAAAGATATCAAATAACTGAAGATAATTTTTTTTCTCATCTCCCTGTGAATTATTTTTGTAATCTCACTTTTACAGGTAGATGATTTTTTGTTGTGCATGACTAGTGGATACTTTGATTTTGTTGATTTTTTTAAGTAGTTTTTTTTTTACGTATTTCCTAAAATTATTATCTAGAAAAATAAATGAGAAATAACACCATCTTGGCTTTAGTTCTTCTTTATCTGCTAAATCAAATAAAGTCATTACAGTAACCTAGGACTGAACACACCTGTTGTAGTATTAGAAGCAAAATACAGCCTCTATGTCTATATATGTTTTATGAAAAACAGTCTCTGTATTTTTTATGCTATTTATTTATCCAAGTAGGATCTGTGGTTTTGTCCCTGGCTTTGTATCTGTTTATGTGTGCATTACTATATGTCTATTGTATGTCTATTGTAGAAGGCCACTACGTCCTATTTTGGGATATGGATATCTTATGATAATAAAAAAAATGCACAGTAAGTATGCACAGATTATGTAGCATAGACTTAGATAAAGATCTCAGTTCTCTATATATACTAAATATAGCTATGAATGATATGGATGAAAGTGGACTTAAGAATAATGCCATTTTGCATGCGCAACAATTGTGTTTTGTAATTGATACCAGTATCACTACTATATGACTATACTCTATACATGTACCTACCCCCATGCATTCACTATACACATTTCACTGTCTTGCTGTAAGCAAATAATCAGCAACCATATATCTACAACATTTCAAGTGTATACAGTGTCTATTTTATATCTACATCCAACAACAAATGTCATATCACCTTTTGGAAGAAAGAATTCCTTATGCTTAGCTCTGTGACTAAGTAAAGGGGAGAATACAGTCTTATTTACTTAAGATTGGGTAGGCAAACAGAGGTGCATTGTTTAGCACCTACAAGGTCATAGCAGAGGTCATCGCTTAGCATGGGGACGCTTTGTTCACGAGCACATGGTAAGGTGTAGGTGTGGGTCTCAGAGCACGTCGGCAGAACGTAAGTTGCACCTGCTTGAAAACCGTAATGTATTGTGCATAGTACTGTGGAAGAACGTCTCATATAAGGTCGTATTCGCGTGTATAAGGTTAACACTCCGTCTGTAGTTTCCAAATGTTGTGTCGGAAAAGATGTCGTCTGCAGCTAGTGCTGCATACGAGTTTACTGGACTTGGATCCGGACTTGTAAGAATGCTATTGGTTCAAGTCCAAAAAAACCTAAAAGTCAAGAAACCGAGTCCGGACTTATTACCATTCTTTCCAAACCACCTAAAACCTTCCGTAGATTGCAAAATCTTTGCTGCAAAATGAAGAAAACATTGCCATCGGGCATCGTCAAGTACCGGCCTCCATGTTATGTGGCCAAAGCCAACATGCAATTTTGTATATGCCATGGGTTTACGTCCAGACCTACGAGTCCGGAACTGAACCTAATGGACTTGAATCCGGACCTGAACCTAAATGTGGGTTTAGGTATGCAGCACCAATGTTGACCAATTACCCAATGAAATCCTTAAAACATCAGGGTTTTGCTCAGGCACAGCACGTTTTGCCGACGTGCTGGATATCAGTTTCTACTAAGATCAATGAAATGAGACTCATGAAATATTCAGAACTTTGGCCTTGACTGTTTTATGGTCAGTACTTGTAACTTACCCATTACACAATGTCATGTATTATGTACATGTAGTCTTACTATTTTCTGACTGTACCGTATTATCTGTAATAAGTTACGTATATATATGTGTACAAACTTCTCTAACTTTTCATGATCCAAGCAGGTGTCGGAAGTTGGCCTCAAACTCGGGTGCATAATTTAATGCGGGCTGATACCCCGAAAAACTAGCTATATATAGAAATGGGTTGCAAAAGGCAGTCTAAAAGCCAGCTGCACAACACACATGTATTATATATGATTGTATATCATGCACTGTTTTTGAACCGTGTTTTGTTTGTGTTCCATTTTCAGGAATTTCTACACGTCCGTTATTGAGGAGAGTCGGCAGAAGGAACGCGCGAGGCAACACCAGCAAAATGTGCGCTTTCTGGAGTTGAGAGCCGAGGCAAGACAGGAGCAAGAAAGACGAAAGGCCGAAGCCAAGTAATGTGACCAAATCAGTTAACCATGAACACAGTTATGTAGTTTTGTTTCTTGTGGCAGACTTTTGCATGCATTTTTTTATTTTGTGTTACTTGTCAGATTCAAAGGAAAAAAAAAACTGTAGCCCGAGTGAACATTATAATTAGCTCACATCCTGGCTTCAATGCTTAACCTAATTTGAACAATCAGTTTTTGAACTAGAAGAAATGTCAGGCAACAGTAAAAGTGTGGTGAACATTCAGGCAGTGAACCTAAACCCCAGCGTTGTGCTCCGAAAGCTTTCAGATGTGGAAGTGCTGAAAAAGACGTCCCCGGCTAAATTTCTGAATACAGGAAAAGAGAGGGCATTAAGCATCAGCTCTGCTTCTGACAAAGACTTGCAAGTACGCAAAGAAGTACATTCAAAGAGTGATACTAGTAAGGAAAAACTGAAGAGCACTGAGGAAAATTCTAGTAAAGCAACAACACCCAGTACAGCAACACATGTTCCGCAAAAGAAAGTAGCAAAACCAGTCAATGAGGCAAAAGCACAGCTCAAACCAACAGAGAGTAGAGTAACCAAATTGAAGGAATTAAAACAAGTGATTGGTCAAGAAACTGCCGCAACCTCTCGTAGTACCGTAACTGAAGACCTTCTGACGCAAATCAGCTTGTCAGCTCCAGTCAGCGATGGGAAAAAAGTCGTCCAACCATCAACCTCATCTAAAGGAGTAGTAGATCTAGAAGCGAGTTCAAAGATGGCGTCCATGATGACAGAAAGTCGCAATCTGAGCGTGGTGGTACCGAAGTTACCAGTCCACATCAGTCCGCAAAAGTCTTACAATATCAACGACCCCAGCATCACCCCAAGCAAAGTCAAACCCCGGACCCCCACAGCGAAGGAAGCACTCGCTCGCAAGATGGTGAAGAAGGCAAAGAGTCGGGCAAACGGGAGGGGGGCAGCGGCGCTGAGTTTCAAGAGGCTCATTGGAGACGAGGGAAATCTGGACAATAGCAGCGACTTTGTGGAAACGGGTAAAACTTTCCAGCCCGCTGTAAGAAAGCTACGGAGTCGCACAGTGAAGAGAACTGCCAAAGAGAAAGTGGGAAAACCCACGAGTCCAGATGCAGCAGTCGCTAAAGAAAGGGGAACTGGTAAAACAAGCAGCATGGCAGCTGAGGTGGAAGGCAAGGAGGGAAGAACCTGCCTGACGTGCAAACAGACCATCTTTGGTTCACAAGAATCCGTCAAGGAACACATGAAGACCTGCCTGAGGCAGCGATTCATCTCAGACAAGCATCCTTCAAGGCAGACCCGTCTTAGACACATGCCTGAACCAGCAGAAGAAGACTCAATGGAATTAGGCAAGTAGTTCACATGATCTTATAGCCAATGAATGAAGCCGACATTTGAATCTTTTCACCTGTGGCATTGCCTTGTAAAGAATGTCGTATTTCATTGGTTTGTCAATTAACCTGTCGTCCAATGAGCACTTAGGATTTGAAATTTAATTTGTTCCCTCCCCCTCTCCCAACAGAGGTGTCTGATGATGAGAGCTTTGCTCGCCACTTACAGCAGAGGGAGCAGGACAAGCTGATGGAAGAGCAGCTTACAGATGCAGAGTTCTACTTCTGCCAGGTAAAGGGAAAAAAATTCACTGTCTTCTCAGCTTTCACTTGGTAGAAGTTGATACATAGTTTGTGTTAAACTGTAACAAGGTTAATAAGGCTTAAACTTTAGCTTCAAGGATGCCAAACAATTACTGTTCTGTCTTATAAAGATTTTCATTGTGTACAAAAGGTAAAATTACAGGATTGATAAAGTTATATACTTGAAAACGTTGAAAAATAGAGCCATAAAGGAAACTATTTGTATATATTCCACTGCTACCACATATACTTGATTTTGATATTTAACAGTTCAGATTACCAGTTTAACAGTTCATGTTACCTTTCTAAACTAGAAAGGTAACATTAGCAAATGCATTATGTTTACCTTCATCCGGTGTATTCTAACCCAACAAACTACTGCACAGTTTATTCTTACTCAAAGTCAAATATATTAATATGTATGTGACCAGCCTCTCCTGTAATCCAACACCACAGGGTGTTGCTACAGCACCAGTTACCATGGTGACAGACATCTGGTCCAGGTCATTGACCTTATTTGTTTGGAGAAGAAGGAGAAGAAGAAACTGAGCAAAAACAAAGTGTTTTCCTACTGCGAAGGTAAACGTTATGAACAGTTACCTGTCTAAGTTTGAGACATGTACATTTTGCAAACCCCTCCCTTTCAGATTTGTGGACGGGATTTAACCCACCTGAACGCGGTACGGAGAACGCAGCACATCAACCGCTGTATCGACGCCATGGAAACGGAGAAGAAGCTGCACGCCGAGGAGAACGTAAAAGACGTTCCAGACTGTCCCATCTGTGGCAAAGTGCTGGAAAGCAGGGCAGTAAGTCAACATACAGTTGTTTCCATTGTCAATGTTGCAGAAGAAAAATTAAGCAACCTGCAATTTTGCAGAAAAAATCAGGGAAGGGTTTCAATTGTGTCTGTATGATAATGTTTAGGAGCTTTTGTTCTAACTGACTTTATGATAATTATACTATTTATCATGTGTTCTTCAAATTGCATGTAAAATGTTTGCCAACATGCAATTTTGCATGAGTTTGAGTCAGGGCTTAAAACTAATATAAAAGTGTATTTTTGTAGAAAGTATTTCCAAATTGCTGAACAATATTGTGACATTCTGTAAGATTGCAGAACATTGAAGAAAGTATTCTGACCACTGGCATAAAAATCGTAAGATTACCTACAATGTATGTGACCACGCCTTGAAAAAAGAAGACTTTTGTCAGTGTTTGTGTATTTACAGCAGAGACAGTCGCACCTGAAGCGGTGTGCTGTACAGTATGGAGTCACCACAGTTCAGCTGCTGGACCTGGTCAAGAAACAAGAGGAAGATGAGATGATTCGAAGAAAGTACCAAGCCAGGCCTCGGCTACAGCCTACACAACAAAGGTGGGGATATCAAGTTCCTGCATAGTTACGTTTACCGAAGGAAAACATATTGTTTTGCTCTGGTTCTTCCTCTTCTTCTCCAAACAAATAAGGTCAATGACTTGAACCAGATATCTGTTACCATGGTAACTGGTATCGAGTTACATCATGTTGCAATTTAATTGCAGAAGGAATTTAGACTCTTGTGTCACCATATACATGTACATGTATATGAATGTGTTTGAGTAAGAATTAACAAAGCAAACCGTATGCGAAGGTAAACGTTATGCATTTGCTTTTCAAAAGTTACCTTTCTAGTTACATGCACTTATGCGTACAGAAATATTGTTTTGGTTAGGTTTGTTTATCTGTTTGTAGGTTGGGGGAAATCCATAAAGGGAAAATTGACATGCAAAATTCCCAGGAGAAAATCTCTCTGCTAGAAGTAACATTGTGTTTTATGTGCTAATCTCCAAGCAGATGCTACAGTCACAAGACATTATCCAATTGGCCAGAGGAGTGTCCACTAGTGACCAAACACTCCTCTGGCCAATTGGATACTGTCTTGTCACCGTAGTATCTGCTTGGAGATTATTTATATGCAAAATTAGGTAGGTACGTGTAGTATTGTTGGCTTAAAGTTGAAATTGAAATTTAAATGAAAAGCCCTTTTTTGCCCATTTTGATTCAGTTTTTCTCATGTGTTCCAAATTGTCACTGTACTGTAGGGGTGTAAAGAGACACCATGAGGGACCAGCAGGTACTGCAGGAAAGAGGCCTCGGAAACCAGCCAGGCATGTCATGTATGTTTCACCTTCTTTGCTATAGAATTGTAATAGTGTAACAGTGTCTGTGAAAATCTTGAACGTAATATTTGTTTTTTATTTTTAATGAAATGTTTCATTTCTAAAAAGAGCTTGTTGCAGTTTTGTTATTCGGTGTGCCCTGTTTTATTGTTTGTAATGCTATGCCATCACATGTAGCTCTCTGTAGTATTGAAGTGTGTTATATGGTACCATGATAGCATTGTAGTTGAAGAGATAACCGTAAACTGTGTTCTATAGTTCTAGCAGAGGTCCACCTGGCCAAGGTGCTCCTTACAGGTGGGACAATAGAGTACTAGTACTTGTACAGGTGTACACCAATAACATGACCAACAGATATTTACAAAATGATATTTTTCTGAAAGAAAATGTTGCCATGTGAAACCTGTGTATTGTATACAGTAAAATTGTACCATGCGTCATGACCATTCAGAGAAAACAGCACCGTTTTAGATTTAAAAGTAATTGTTGCCAGAACCCTTCTTTAGACTTAAAGACTACAAGATATTAACGACAACTACAATCTGACCATATTGATGTCATGTAAGGGGTATGTCTTTTTGAGGGGGAATGAGAAAAAATAATATAATGGTGCAATGTAGTAACTGAACTCCTGATACCATGCAAAAGAAAGATTTTTTATTGCTGTTCATGTTAATGGTACACCATTGTCAGATCAGATTTGCTGACATCTCTCTCAAATTCTTATCAAAATTCCTTTGTTTGTCGTTTTTGCATCACTTACTAATGATTGTCTAATCTTTGAATCAAAATTTGCCAGAAAATCTACTTCTGCCTTGATGAGAAGATTAATCAGTGCTTTGCAGCCAATTTCCGAGGAATGCAAAATTCTTCCTGCAATGCTTAAACTGAAGCTGATTTTGTAGGATGTGTGTGTGTTTAAATAATATTTGCTGTGAAATTTACCTTTGATTTATTTGGGTGTGTTGCTAATTTTTAACAAATCAAGACACATTGTATGCATCTCAATGTGCTCATATCAAAATAGCAGACTGGACAAGAAATAACTGTAAAATCAGAAACTAGAAAATGTGACAGTTGGAATTAAGACTATCATAAAACAGAACAGTTACAATTGTAATGTGTTCAATATTGACTTCAATCAAATGGTAATGTATAAATTATTATAGTAGATGACTGTCATCAAAGCTGCTTCTGAATCAGTATTTTCACTCTCTGTAATATAGACCCTGACAAATGTACAATACATTTGTGGTAAGGCCTGATTTTTGCCTGTTCTAAAAAAAAACTCCGACGAGGCTCTGGCCTAGGTGCCATCCTCTGTAGTCCATGGTAGTCCATGGTTGCAAGTAACAATAGGAAGCTGGCAGTAACTACGGAGAATGGCACCCAGGCTGCAGAAGCTCCACGGAACAACAGAACTCAGCATGCTAGCACACTGCTGACTCATAAATGCCGCAAAAGGCCAGCACGTGCCGGCTTGTTGTAAAAGTCGCCATGTACTGCTGCAGATTCACAATACCAAACTTTGTATTTCTGTGGCATTGCAGCATTTTTTTTTGCTAGAGTTTTTTTCAATTCACCCGTGCGCACTAATTTGGGGTTCTTCAGGGGAAGTGATCCATAAAATTAAAGGCATCCAATGTGATTTCAGGGCAGCAAAGCTGGAAATATTCTGAAGAAGGCAATCTTTGTGATGTTGCTTGATGTTACTGCTTCACATTAGCTTCACATTAGCACATTTGAGTCAGCATTTCATACTTTGGGCACTTAAAACTGCAGAAACAAACCCCAAGATGAGTTGTTTCTTTTCTGGATGGTACGCTAAAAATCAGCCCAGAGCCGTTCCACTAACCATTTTCCATCAGAAGTTTGGGTATTTTTGCTCCACAAGGGTCAATATACATTGGGATAGTGTGGTTTCAACTTACTATGTAGATAAAGGACTAGAATATTGGCTTTGAAAAATCGGGTTTCCAAGCCCTAAAAACTGCATTGGATGCCTTTAAGTCAGTGTGGCCTAATTGGTAAATGTTGTTCCATCTCCAGGGACATGGATGAGCGGACCCAAGTTGCCATGGCGATGTCCATGTCACTAGCGGAGAGTGACGACAGCAGGGAGCAGCCAACAGTCACGTCTGCACTCCCCATGGGTGGGAAAGAAGGCAAGAGGAGGAAGAAGGGGGCAAAGTACGTACATGTACAACCACACTTCAGGAGAGTCAAGAAAGTCAATAAATATAGAATACAACACGGTGTATTCCGTATCACCCGAGGTACCAGCCCGACCGCGCGTCGGATCGCCCGACGGCCGAAGGCCGGAGGGAGATCCGATCCGTGGGAGGGCTGGGACCGAGGGTGATGCGGAATACACCGTGTTGTATTTTATTTATGTCATACCCACCCAAGAAAACGCGCCTTTCAATGCGAAATGAGCAAAAATTTGATGTCCCTAAACAAAAAAAATGCGACAACGTCAATTCCAACGTCCGAATTTTGTGTTCGAAATTGGTGCACGCGGTTAGGCCGAAACGCGTTCGAATCGTTCAACAGGACATTTGGAAGCCCCGGGCCGTACGCAAAAAGAACCCCCGGGCTGTACCGCTAGTTATCACACGGGCCGGAACACCCGTATCGAACGTAATCGCGGCCCAGGTAGGACATAAGGAAAAATATACAGTCACTGTGGTAGAAATCCTTTTTTTGCAGTGTTCTACAATATTGCAGAATGTCAAAATTTTGTTCTGCAATTCGGAAATACTGTCTGCAAATGCACACTTAAAAGTTTGGATCTAAACCTATGGTATATGCAAAAATGCATGTTGGCAAACATTTTACATGCAATTTGAAAAATGCAAAATTACTTGCAAAATGTATATTATAGAGTGAACACGAAAAACTCTTAAAACAATAGTCAACCCCTAGCCAGGCTTAGAAAGTAACTTTAAAGGTAGGATGTTTTCCTTTTCCATGGAAAGTACAGAAAATGTCAGTGTGTGCACAATGTCCTGACAACATCTTGAAAAGGGGGCCATTTAACATCTCCTGAGTGGAAAGACAATGTTGTCTTTTTTGTTCTCTGTTCTCCCCCTGACATTCCGATGAATAGTACTAGTCCATTGTGTAATTGATATTGCCTATTCTTTATGCTTGAGCCAGTATAACACCAAGCATCTTTTCCTATAATATTGTGAGCATAAGTTTGTATTTCAATCTACAAAATGCCTGTATTGATTAGACTGATCTGTGTTCCAGGACTGATGAAGTACCAGCCCTGTTGTTGACTAGTAAAGAAGACAGGGACAGAACACTTGCAAAGAAGGTGGCTTCTATCATTGTACAGGTAATGTGTTACAATAATCAACAAGCATGAATGAAAACTTGGAACTGTTTAGACACCTGAGATATTTCTTGTACTAGTCCAAATGATTTGTTATGAATTTGATTTTGAGTGAAACAGCCTGCACTTGAATATGGTTGTATAATTTTTCATTATGATAGCTTCAGCATAGACATCCAGTCATCTGCTATCAATACATGTAGTTCTTGGTTCATTAAACAGTTTTAATAATAATCATACAGTCTATAATATGTGTGTTGATAACAATATGTATTATATGTGTTTAAAGTTAACACTTTTGGTCCAACACAAAAAATTCTCTCACCTAGAGCTTTCGACCAGTCACTCTGGTCTTCCTCAGTAGACTGACCCAGTGAAGCTTGCCAGGTGACTTCTTCACAAGCTTCACTGGGTCAGTCTACAGAGGAAGACCAGAGTGACTGGTCGAAAGCTCTAGGTGAGAGAATTTGTTGTGTTGGACCAAAAGTGTTAACTTTAAACATGTAACTACCAACACAGATGAACTTTCATGATAATACAAATGTATATAATGTGGTTAGGGTGAACAGGAACCTGTCCCAAAGACACCATCCATGAGAAAAAGTAAACTGGGTAGGAAGTACCACACAGCTAGGAAGACCATGGGGAAAGGTCCCAACACTCCTGGGTTTCTGCAGAAAGCTGCCACCAGCAGCCCCCCTGCAGCCTCTTCCAGTACTGCAACATCTCCTGCCTCCAGTCAGGAGAAGGTGGGTGGGATTCTTTCAAGTGTTAAAGCGATATTACTATTAGGCCACATCAATTTAATTCCTTGGTTAACAGATTTTTCTAGAAAAATAATGGAGTGGGCGGGCAAAAAAAAAAACAGGATTAGGCATCCTATTATGGCCAAAATGGTACGATATAAGCCATGAAGTCAACACACCAGGCTGGTTCAAAATTTAAACAATGAATTTTGAACTTTAAATGATACCACTGCATTGAAAGATGGAATAACTGTAACAACTAGGAAGAAAAGGACTGTTTTCAACTGTTCAGGGCAAAATATGAGCATTTTGCAGTTGAAAATCAGAAAAAAATGAAGCGGGCAAATCTGTTAACCAAGAAATTAAATTGGTGTGGCCTTATGTAAGATTTTTTGCATCAAAACTGTTTATAAATTATTGAAATTCTCTCATCTAGATTGTCGTTTTCAATATTTGTCAGCATATTATCGTTGCTATTTCACTTTTCCGGTGACTCAGCGCAGCACGAGAATAAGTTGAGCCAGGTCCGCTGTATTTTTAGGAGGCTCCTTAAAAGAACGTAAACAAGCAGTGGTTTTCGTTCTGGTATCTTCGGCAGCTTCAGCAGGTTTGTGCGGTGCAAAAACGTTGAACCTTTATTCCCCAAAGGTCATTTTGAACCCGGGCAGGCTTATACTATAGTACAAGGAAATGTGGAAAACAACAATGTTTCAAAAAGTGAAAATCTTACATAATATGGCTTTAATGCTACACGTTAAAGATATTTTTAGAAAATATCTTTTAACATAGTGTGAATATCAGGAAAATTGGTATACATGTATGTTGCATTAGAGAAGTACAAATTCTATTGTATCTATAGATGGTAATACACATAAGACATTTTTTGTTGTAGCCTTTTGTAGTTATTCGCCGTTCAACTCTTACCCAGGCCCCCCTGTGGTCCATGACAAAGAGAATTGACCAGAAGAAAACTGATGACTTCTACGTCCAGGAATTGTCCAAACAGATCACTCCGGTCAAATATGTACCCGTCACACCAATGAGGAAGGCAGCCCAGAAAGCAATGTTGACCTTTAGGGTAAGATGACACTATTTTTGTCTGTATTTTGTGAAGGATCCGACATGTACAAGAAAATCATGTACCATAAGACCATAGTCCAACATCAAGATGAACATACTTGTACTAATAGCCTCCATAGCATGCCAAAAACTGGGGGTTTTGGGGGTCTTCATGGTCTTTGGGAGTTTTTATGTGCTATATTCTGATTGCATATAGACAACATAGCCGGCATTACCCCGTTTTTTTTTAACTGGGCTAATCAGAAAACAGCCAAAGGCCACCAACCCCCCAGTTGTAATATTGGTAACCATGCGTTCAGCATTTCTTAGGCTGATGATTTGGATGGTGTAGTGGTAGAGCATTTGACTAGGAAACAGCGGGGTTCGATCCCGAGTTGTACCCGGGACATGTCTGGACATGCGCCCCGATGTTGTGCCCTTGGAAAAGGCACTTTACACGACTTTCCTCACTCCACCCAGGTGTGAATGGGTACCTAACTTCGGGTTGGGAAAGTTGTATTGAGGTCACCAGGTAGCGCCAAATGGCAGCCGCACACAAAAAGTGTGTGTGGAGCAAATACATGTATTGTTATTTGTATCTTGTGTATTATGTGTTAATTTTACTTTGTAAACCCTGTATCAATTCATCACTATAAAAAGGCTGCGATTGCACGGGTACTGTTTGACCAATAAACCATTTACTATTGACCAATAAACCATTTTATAATTATAATTCTTATATTTTATACTTGCTAGAAAAATCATCCACTTTTATCAAAATTCTTAATTATCAGAAGAAAAGCGACACAAGTGAGGGTGAAGAGAGCCCCGCATCAAAAGCTGCTACAGGAAGCCAAAAGGCCAAGAAAACTTCCACTCCTAAGAGGAGTCCTGTGAAGTCCACACCAACCCCCACCCTGACACAAGGAGATACGGCCAGAGTATTAATGGAGCTGGCTGAAGAGGGATGCTCCACACAAGAGGTACAGGATGTCTTTACTGAAGGACAGCCACTGTCGCCTCAGCCTAGTGGCTTCCTACCAGACAGGACTCAGCTCTCCCCCCAGCAGGTAAGTAAAATGCATATTTTAGAAGAATACAGAATGTAGTGTGAGAAAATTTGATTAGGTAGTACACGAAGTCAACCATTTCCTGAATTCCTCCCTGTACTGCTACACTGAGGACACTATATTTTTAATGTCAATGTTGCAAAAATGATTGTACAGCATTTCATCACTCAGGTGTGGAGCTAGAAAAAGTTGATGGCTTGAAAAATGTATGTCCCTTGCAAGGGTCCACAAAAAAAAGGCGGTTGGGAAACAGGAAACACAACATTTTTTTTCCTAGGCCTTAGTACAAAAAAAATCTAAGCTAAACTGACCTCATGTTTCTAACATTCTGTGACCCTCAGATGCCCAGCGCTGTCCTGAACACAGCGCTGACCAAGCTGTCTGCAGACTTCCAGCTGATGGTGAACAGCCCCAAACTCAGCGACTTGAACCTGCTGTGCAAGAACGGGGAAGTGCTGCATGTGCACAAATTTGTCCTGGTCGCACGATGCCCTGTCTTGGCAAAGGTCAGTACTGTGCTGTTCATTTCAAAAACACTATCTCTCAGGCCACACCAAATTAATTTGTTGTTTCTCAGATTCGCCCTGTCCATTTCTGTCTGATTTGCAAAAAAAAATAATTTGGAATTGATGTTGTTGCTTTTTTGGTTTAGGGACACCAAATGCTTGGCTCATTTCGCATTGAAAGGTGCATTTTTTTGGTGGGTATAAATAAAATACAACATGGTGTATTCTGGCCTCCCGTGGGTTGGATCTTCGGCCGTCAGGCGATCCGACTCGTTGTCAGGCTGGTACCTCGGGCAATACGGAATACCCCATGTTGTATTCTATTAGTATTCTATAATATTATGTATCTCCTTTAGTTGTTAGTAACAAACAGTATCCCAATACATTGGTAGCTTAGTTCCCAATTTTTGTCTTTCACAGATGCTAGAGAGTTCCGAAAAGGGTAATAAAGATTTGGCAGCACTGGACTTCTCTGATCACCACAAGGATGCAGTACTAACTACTCTACAGTACATGTATGGGGGAAAAGTCTCTATAAATGATACAGTTTTGGCTACAAATGTGATGAGGGTGGCTCAAAAGTAAGTTTGTCTAATTAAGTAATGACAAACCTTTTTGTTTAACTTTTTGAAATTGCAAGACGATGAAGCTTGATTCACTCTCTTTTTTACTCAAGGATGACAGTAGAAATACTTAGTACTTTGTGTGAATAAGGTCACACGTCTGTAACCGTAACTCTCGCGAGATTATGTTTTGAAGTAATGGTCAATTATTATCCTGATGAAGGCAACTGTGGTCGTTGAAAATTTGATCTCTGTGTAATCTTGGTGTCTTTTTGGTGTTACTGATTTTGACCATATTCTACTCTAAATTTGGAAGCAGAAATATCTTCATGGGTTCCTTCTTACTATAGATAGCTGGATAATATCCATTTGATTTTATATCAAAATAATGGCAGTATACTGGATCTGTAAAGATCTTTGTACATGTAAGTAAGAAAAGAGAAACATTTCTTTTTGCTGTGTTTCCTGAATTGCAGGTTGGAGCTGAAGGAACTTGAGGACACCTGCCGGGCCTTTCTAAAACCCACGTTTTCACCTGCTGACTCATCTCCAGAATTCCAAGAGAAGGAGCTACCTGAACTGTTGGACACCATGCTAGGCTCACCCAGCAGGAGTCCTAACCCATCCCAAGGCAGCCAAAGCTTGGACAGTCAAGGATTTAATGACTCCGAGTTAGAGGACATGGCCTTGAGTCAGAAGCAAAGGTTTCAGACGGCAAAGACGCTGCCGTCAAAAAACGTTAATAAGGAGTCTGCAGTGACAAAGAAACCTACCCAGATGGTGCCACCTGCAGGAAGAGGCCTTGGACAGGCTCCTGAGAGACAAGAAAGTGGCCTCCTAGTTTCACCCATGACTATCGGAAAGATGGTAGAAGCTACAATCGAGAAGAACCTAAAGCAGCATACCAGAATTGATCCTCATGCAAACCTGGCGCCAAATGCAGCTCAACAGCCACTGATTGCAAGCCCAGGGCAGACGACTGGTGTTGGCATTCGGATTCCCGTGGAGCACAGCTACTCAACCAGTCCTAACAAGGTCACACACCGGGGACGCCGAGGGCCAAAGACAACCGTTACACCGATGGTAGAAGGGTTTCCATCATCCGTAAGTCCAGTGAAGCAGCCAGCATTGTTAGCACCTTCAAAGTCAGGCATAGCAACACCTTCATCACATGATGCAGCAAGGAATGTGACTGCTTCAACACATGCTGTGAGATCAACAGCAACTCTGTCGCCTTCACAACTTGGTGGGGCATCGACTGTTACCCAAGCTGGCCCCGCTCAAACTACCATGACTCCCGGTCCACTGCCTAGGCCGGGAGTCAGGGAGCAGTCTCTCATCATCCAGTCCCGAGAGCTGTCCAGCAAGGTGGGCTGCCCGGAGTGTGAGAAGTCGGAGGTGCGAGTGTCTGCAGACGAGGCACAGATGTTGATCCAGGGTGGCCCGGCTGCACACGCCATGCGACAGTTGATCCTGGCGAGACAGGGGCCCTGTCCACACGGGAAGTTCCCGTCGTGGTGTCCCCCACTTCCCCCAACATGGACTCCCCCACAGGGACAAGAAGCTGTCCAGGGACGACCCACAGGTCACCTGTTGGCTGGTCTTCGGTCCCGAACACCCCCCAGTAGTCCCGTGCGGCAGACCGCATCAGCGACGGCAGTTACAACAAGCGCTACTAGACACTCATCCACAAATCCAGCTCAAGCTGGAGGTCCACATGGTCCAAGACTGCAGAACTTTGATCCCAGTAGTCCACCTTTTGGACTAGGTTTGGGCGGTTTAGCAGTGCCTTCTATGCAAAGCAGACCGGGAGGGATGCAACCTGATGTAAGACCACCTGGGAGTAGAATGCCCATACCACCACCCCTGCCAGGGTTTGGGCCGCTAGCAGTAGGTGGTAGACTGCCCCCAGCGTCAACTCTGCTCTCCAGGACCAACATTCTTGCTCAGATGAGACAGCCTTCCCAATCCTCCCAGGAAAGATATGGACCACAGGGCATTGTGCAGCAGCAGTATCATCCACCAAGGACATTTCCAAGTCAGAGAGATGCCTCCATGTCTCAGAGTCCACAGAGCAGTGGAAAAGAACCAGATTCCTCGGCATTATCCCAGTTGAGAAGCCCCTCGAGACTGCTCTTACATGCAGCACAGACCATGATACCTGGTAACCAGTATCTCAGCGGGCAGTTTCTGTCTCCACCTGCCATGCAGAGGCCGTCGCTACCTGACGGCACACCGCGGCTCTCTGTTGTCGCAGAGACAAGCCCACCTACGTCAACTGGGGTGGCCATTGTCCGAATCCCTGCTCCATTGGAAAAAGGCCAAGACAGAAGTGAGCGACATGTAAGCCCACCACGTGCCTCAGTGCCTGGAACTGCTGGAGGTCACGTTTCCAGTTTTTCCGCCTCACCGAGTCTTGCTTCCACTCAAAGAACGCCCCTTAGGTCATCAGCCGGTGCCACCTTCAGCTCAGCATCACTCAACAGCAGCACGGCAGACATGTTTGCAGTGCCTGATACTCCCCCCAGTTCAGGGAGGCCGAAGAGAAAAGTCGGCAAACAAGGCCGAGGCAGGACGCCCTCCGAGTCAGACAACGATACTCGTTCAGCAGCCGAAGCTCTAATGTTCATGTCGCAACGAAGAGAGGATTCAGAAGGACAAGAGGATGCTTCACCACCTCCCCCAGGAATTCCAGGTACCCAGGTACACAATGCCTCTAGCCCTAAGTCTGAGATTGTGGTACAGGTTAGCAATGATGGAGGTAGTTCAATACCTCCTAGCAACCCAACTGTGATGCATGTCTCGAGATTGAGCAACCCAGAGCATCAAGGGAGTTCCCAGGGTGCTAGAACACCCTTGATCCGACCGCAGAGTTGGTCAAGTTTGGTAAGGAGGGAGGGAGGTACGAATGAGTCGAGCATTCTCAAGGTCTTGTTGCAAAAAGGGGTGGCCGCGGCCATTCCACAGCTGTACAAGGATCAGGAAGTCCCGCCCCAGATTCAGAAGCAGGTTTTGAGAGAAACACGGTTGAAAGGAAAGAAGAAAATAATCAAGCAGTATGATGCGCAGACATGTGGTGAAATGGTGGTGGGTAGTAGTGGTGAAGTGCATGAGCGGATGTTAGTGATTAGTAGAAAAGGTGAACATGTGGTGGATAGAAGGAGTGGTGCAGGTCTGCATGATAGTCATTCTGGTGCACAGAAAGAGGTGGTGGTTGGTGAGGAACAACAAAGAGAAGTGCATGACAGAAGCAATGATAAACAGGATGACCTGGCAGGGGAAGAGAGTGGTACTGAATCTCTGTCATGTCCAACTGCCGATGAGTTAAGAGACAGCATGCTATGTAAAATATTACACCCTGAAAAGTCCAGTCCGGTACCGAAAAGAAAGGGGAAAGCAGCGCATGATGGAGGTGAAGTGAAGAAGGTGCAAGGTAAAGATTTGCATGCTGAGAAACTAACACGTGCGAGAGTACTAACAAAAGAATGCAGTCCAATGGTTGGTGAGGCAAGGTGTCATCAGAAGGAAGGTAATAATAGTGTGGCTGCTGTGTGTGTCGGTGAATCGAGTGTGAAAAATGTTGCGAGGCAACGTTTTGCTTCAAAAGTAGAAGAGGACACAGACTGTGATGAACTTCGTTCCACTTTTACAGGTCCGTATAGAAAGCAAAGAAGAGGAAAAGCTGCAGCAGCTGCTACAACATTCCCTTCTAGCAGCTCACCACTGAGTAGTGAGGCATCTCCAAGGGGAACAGTAGAAATAGTGGCAAACTCTAGAAGAGAACGGTCAGCAGCAGGAAGACAAGAACCTGATATAGGCAAAGTTCCTAGTGTTTTTGACAACAACCAAAGAGTACCAGCAGAAAACCGAGTTAGCAACACCAGAGACCAGGGAAACTACAGAGTAACCAGGAGAGCATCACAAAGAAAGAAGCAGGCCACTCCTAGTGATGCTATGATGCAATCATCTGTACAGACTAGAACCAGGGGTGGCAGGCAAAAAGATGTAGAGGCGTCACATTCACCTACGAAACGTCTTCGCATGCAGCGGGCACCCGAAGGGAAGAGGCATGCTTGTACTCAGTCACCAAAGAAGTTTTGGACTGACTACCTGAAGGCTCAGTTGGCTAGTGGTCAGGCCCCACCAGGGCCAGTAGGAGAGTCGATGATGCAGACACCAGGCTTGAGTGCAGTAAAACCTGTAAGAAGAGGCATCTCCTCACCAGAACTGGCTCTGACGTCTCCAGGAGTGGTCGGGTCAGCGGCCCACCAACCCAAGTTCTCAACCCCTGTTGGGAGCCACACGCAAACAGGGGGCTCACCTCGACTCAGCCTCGACCAGGAGCTGAAGGAAGCAGAGACAGAAACTGCATCCCATGGAACTGGTCCAGAACCAGGTGGTCCAATAGTGGAAAATAACAAGGAGATGTCATTGGACTCTACAGACTCTCAGCAAGCTAATGGTGCCAGTAAGAGAGACCAGCAGAAAGAGGCATCAGTTACAGATAGCCCTGATGCACCAAGCAAGCTGCAGGAAGCCTGTTCAAACCCTAATGACTCCTTCACTAGTACAGATTCTGAGGGAAGCAATGCTACTAGGCCAGGCCGGCTGTTTGAGACAAAAGGACAGGAAGGTCCGGCTGTGATTGTACAGACTCAGTCCGAACTCCTTTCTCCCACCATAGATTTTCACGAGGAGACCATTGTTCCAAGGTCAGTATCACCCACACCACCTCAGTCACCACTAACTACTGTTAGATCCCGAGTCTCCTCTCCAACCTCCCCTACAGTTGGCCCAACCCCTGAGCAGGGCCAGGGTAGTGTATCAACAGGAGGAACTGATCTAAAAGCAAAAGACACTCCTTCAGCAGCTGTCGAAGTCATCGAGGTTTCTGATGATGATGACGTACAGGAAGGTGAAGATCTTCAAGATGATGCTAAGAGGAAAAGATCCACACCAGACTCCGTATCAGAAGCAAAAAGACCAAAGACTGATGGTCATGACTCATCAACAGTCGGTGACGATGCAGAAGATGATGTTGAATGTGTTGCAGACAACTCGGTTGGTGCTGGTGGCTTGGAGGACGTGGAGAGGATTGACCTCACCCAGGAACGTGGTGATGAGACTGCTTCTGAGTCCCAGCAGGGTGGTTGTGGGACAGAACACGGATGTGGGACTCCTGAACCTGACCAGTCACCCTCTCCCAACGGTCAGAGTGATCCAGTGGAGGAACAACAGTCCCAGAACAACTCCCAGCCCTCTGTGGTGAATGACAGTTTCATGGATTTCTTTGATGACGGGGGCTACATGGAAGTTCCCTTTGGTGGGGAGGTGGAGTGTGCTGCTGAATCATCTGATGACAGAATCAACCCGGACGGTGGCACCAGGAAAGCTGGATTTAAAGATGGCCAAAATGTTGATGTAAGCCTTTCTGACAAATATTTCCTTTTTATTTGTAATTTTATATCTATGTTTTCCTTTGCAGTGGAAAACATATTGTTTTTGCTTTGTTTCTTCTTTTTCCGTCCCAAACAAATACATGAAAGTCAGTGACCTGAACCAGACATCTGTCACAATAGTAACCAGTGTTGGGTTACATCATGTTGCAATTTTATAGCAGGAGGGATTTAGACTTCTTTCACCATATATCTTCCGCTGGATATTTTTCAAAAATTGGGCAACTGTCTAATTCGCCAAAAAACAGTTACTCAAGCAACTGGATATGATTTTGAAAACGTCAGACGTTTCAGCTAGTATCCACTAGCTTTCGTCAGTGACTGAGAGACCAGAGGGGAAAGCAGGTTTATAAGTACAACCTGTTGATTGATATGCAAATAAAGTGAAGACATATGCAAATAAAGTGAAGACATATCCAGTTGCTTGAGTAACTGTTTTTTGGCGTATCGTATTACCTGGATGTCTAACCTTCATCGACGTAACTGTCTAATTATTCATAACTTGTAAATCCTCTTTTGTAGGACTCGAGTCTTAGGTTAGATGCCTCCTCAACAAGTGACAAACACACCACACCACCAGTGCCTTCATGCCCAAGAAATGCTTCTGATGTCATTGAAGAATTCCCAGACACTCAGCAAGAACCTATCCATGTTGAAGAAGATGCTCATATTGAGCAGGATGTTGCAGAAGTTGTTGAGGAGTCAACGAATTCAGCAGGAGAGGATGTGGTGAATGATAGCATGTATGACTTGGAGGCCTATCAGGAAGACTATTATTGGGATGCATGCAATGAGCCCCAGCAGGAGGAACCAACAGCTGTGCAGGGTGATGTTGGAAGTGTGCTTGGGAACAGTGATACTGGAACAGGTATACAATGACTTCTGTATATGACCTTTTAACTCAACCATGGATATATATAAATATACATTTGTATATACTAGATAGGCCACAATATTGGATTTTTTTCTATAATATATTTATTTTCTGTCATATTTATAAAGGGGTTCCCCACTCAGTGATGACACTGCTTTTCTGTGGAACCCTGTGTTACACAAATAAAATACAGTAACGTACAAACAATAAGATTAAGAAACCGATACAATGAATAATGATATTGACAATGATAAATATATGTAAAGAAAAACCGGTAACTAACAAATAATCATAAGTAATAAGAGGATAAGAGTGCAAGTTTATTTTGTGATATGGCAACATTAAATGTGTCAACCCAGTTGTTCTGTCCTTCAACAATATTTTGAGAACCTGTGTCATGATGAAGATAGAAAACAGTAACTTTAGTAATACTTCAGGGTACGGAAGTATTGTTTATGGGTGTCTGATTTGTGAGTTTGTGTATGTACGGACAGAGGAGGTTGATAGTATGTGGATGGGGAAGATTGACAGGCAATCTACTATTAGTTTGATTCTTTTGTTTGTGTATTCAGTTGTACGTCTGCTTTGAATCCGTGGTATTATGTTTTGTGTTATTGTTGTGTTTATTTGTCATTTCGTAAAACGATCAATAAAAAAAGATTGACAGGCAAAACGAAAGGTCAAAAGTCTCAAAATCTGGCCAGGAGCAAGTTGGAATCAGGGGTGAACATGGGGGAATTCAGGAAGCCAAAGACGGCATACTTCAGAACTACAGAAGTCTGAACTCTCTGATTTCTTTTTTTTTTATTCATATATCAAATACATAACAATGTAATGAACCATCCATTACTCACTTACTCACCTTACAGTAATCATAATAATAACAATAATAATAATAATAATAATAAAAATCATAATCCATAACTGACCATAATAACTGATCATAATCATAACAATAATCATAATCATAACAATACACATAATCCTAATAATCACTGATCATAGTAATAATAATTATAATAATACCAATAATACTCATAATCATAATAATCACTGATCATAATAATTATTCATAATTCAACTCATAACTGTTCATAATAATAACTGATCATAATGATAACAATAATCATAACTCTCTGATTTCTTGTTAGGTCCTGTCAAGTCCACACCACTGAACACACATCGCAAGAGCAAGGCCCCCTTGGTTCCCATTACTCCCATGCCTGATTATCCCAGCATGGAAACACCAGAACTTAAGGTAAAGATCCAGAAAAGTGAAATTTTCTTCAAAGATGCTTCAATGGGATAACTTTTCATGAGTCAAGAATGAATTTAAGAATCTAAAAAGTTTGAGAGTTATTGACATTATGAACCTACTTATGTACAATGTATAATGTATATAGACTTATGATGTGATCAAAACATGGCAGTGTCTAAGAAGTAACGTGATTTTGAATTCTGAAGATTATTGATCAGTCATGTAGTTAGCATGCCAGTTTTGTTTGAAAAAATGTGCTAATAAGACTTGTTTTAACTTGAGACTTTTCTTTCTCAGAAACAAGTCAAGAAATTTGGAGTAAGGGCTCTAAAGAAGCCTCAAATGGTGGCAAAACTGACGGAAATCTACCACTATACACATCAAGGTACATGTTAAGATGTCCATCTCTGTAAGGGGGCATATTCCTCTCCTCAGATTGTAGTAAGTAGACTGCTTGTACAGCACAAATGTGCAACATCCACTAGAAGTTTGCAGTTTGAACTGTGCATAATCTTTCACTGAAGGCAACAGGAATTGCTCATTACACTTAAGCATTACTTACATGTACTATCTGTTAAATAGATTTAGATTTCATTGAATATACATGCCCATAGCCAGGGGGGTTTGGAAGAACCCACAAGGCTCAAAAGTCAACTTTTTGGACCACTTTTCACCTAAATGTCCAAGATTTTTCTTTAGATGGACTGATTCGTGTCACCAACGGGGCTGGAATCGTATAAAAACTGCCTACTTTGTCATTGAATAAAAAATTATCTCTGTTTTTTTTTCTTTGAAATCCTCTCAAAAATGCAGGAAATGCCATTTCAGAAGGTTCATTTTCTGGGGTAGCATGCTCCCGGACCCCCCCCCTAGGAACCTCGGCACTCGCCTCGTGCCTACAGCGCTCGCTGGTCCCTCACGCACTGGGAAGAAACCCCCCCCCCATTCAAAATCCTGGCTACGGGCATGATATACATGTACCTGTCTGGAATGACACACGATTGAAGAACAAAGCCAAAACATGTAGTCATCCTTCTCTTCTTCATCATAGTGGAGACAGATTCAGAAGATGAAAGCCCATCAGTGGAGAAGACCAGTAACAATGATACAGAGCTACAGGATGGCCAGATGTACCATAGACAGACTGTGATACATGAAGTGCCTCGGTTAGAAGCCCGACTAGGAGAAGTTGTAGAGACTGTTCCCTGTACAGATACTGGTCCTACTGGCAGTGACATGGACTCAGATGGGAGCACTGACAGCAACAGGTATTATTTATTTTTATTTATTTATTTATTTATTTGTCTGCTAGCCAATGGCTGTTACAAAGAGCTTGCCCTGCTGACAAGACATGACATCATTTAACAGCAACATATAAGTTGGCTTAAAAAAATTTTTAATTATTTGACAGCAGGTCAGCAACAGGTATTTGACCTCTAACCATTAAATAGTTTTTTTTTATTTTTAGGCCCCACCAATTTGATTTGTTGGTTCTTGTATTTTTTCAGAAAAAATATGAAGCGAAAGGGCAAAAAAAAATATATAAACAGACTTGGCATCCTATGATAGCCCCAAATGCTATCATTATAGGAGCCATGAATTCAGCCTACCAGGCTGGTTTGTAATTCAAACAATGAATTTCAAACTTTTAATCAACTACAGCATTGTTAGATGAAAAAATTGTAACAGCTCTGAAGAGAAGGGGCTTCCTTCAACTGTTGGGGCCAAAACATGAGCATTTTGGAGTTGATTCAGAGGTTAAAATGTTTTTTTTTTGTTGGCAAATCAGAAAAAAATGAAGCGGGCGAATCCGTGAACCAACAAATTAGATTGGTGTGGCCTTACTGTTTGAAGAGAAGAAATTATGAAAACGTGGAAAATACTGTCAAAAGGTGTATAGCATACTTGGAATAATACAATGTACTCCTGTGGTCTAGCTACTGCATCAAATATGAAGTTCCCTTTGTGGAGAATGGTATAACCCGAGTAAGGTCATAGGTCATCCAGCCAGCTGTTCCATCTGTACTGCCATTATTGTTAGCTCCAAATATGCCGAGAAATGGGTGAGCATTGGACAACGTCTGGATGTTTATAGGGGTTTCTTTTCTCTAGTATTTCTGCAATATTTTACAGTGAAGAAGGTTTTATTAATTTTTTTCCAGTGTCAAATGGCTGCTAGGAATAGCTTGACTTACTTGACTTAAGTACCAACGTGGCGTGTTGGATACTGTCTGGCCAATTTGATACTGCCTGGCCAATTTGATACTGTTTTGCAGCCACCGAAACATCTGCTTGGAGATTAGGTAGTAGGTATTAGTAAGGCCATGTTGATTTGATTATATGGATGACATCCTCTGGGAACCCCGAAACTGATGCAAGCGTACAAATAAGAAAAAAAGTTTGAATGAAAAAAAGTTGCCTTCGTTATGAAATCTAGGTGGTCATGAAGGTTGAACAAATGACTAAACACACAGAGTAATATTTTATTGGTATGGTGAATAATAGACTCTTCATTTTCATTCCTTCACATTTTCTTTTTGTCCTTTGGAATGAATTTTAGCTTTCTGTGACATAAGCATCGTTTTCCAATTATATATTTTTCAATTTATGTTGTATGTTTGCTCATTTTGCAGCTACTTTGTACGATTTATTACACAGTATGGTCGAAAACTTTTTTTTTTGGAAATGAAAAATCATGCGCGCGCGGATGTCATCCATATAATCAAATCAACATGGCCTAATCAATACTCAACACAGAGACCATGATGACTAATGTTTTATACTAACCAATGTTCTGTTTTTGTTACCAGTGAGGGTGAGGAATTCGAGGTGTCAGATGATGATGATATCACTCCGTCACAACAGGTAAGGGTCGAAAACCAAATTGATTTAGGTAACAGCCAATGGTATGGCTCGAAAGACTATCATATTAACTTACCAAAAACTAAAAAAAAGAATACAGGCTGAGATTTTCTTTTGTTAACGCCCTTTAATTTTAAAGGCATCCAGTGCAGTTTTTAGGGCTTGGAAACCTGAGTTTTCAAAGCCAATATTCTAGCCACTTATCTACATGTACATACTAGTACTGAGTTGAAACCACACTATCCCTATGTATTATTGACCCTCATGGAGCAAAAATTTTTTTATGGAAATTTTTTCAAAAATGGTTACTGGAAGGGCTCTTGGCTGATTTTTAGAGTACCACCCAGAAAATAAAGGACTCATCTTGTCATGGGGCTTGTTTTGGCAGTTTTAAAAGTCTGAAGTATGAAATACAGATTGAAATGTGCTAGTGTGAAACAATATACCAGTTTTGCTGCTCTGAAATTGCATTTGACGCCTTTAAAGCTTTTGTAGCTTCAGTGGGTTTTAGGAGCAATGTTAGAACTGTTTGAGTGTGTTTTCCTGTATTCAGTTAACCTGGAAGCTTGAGTACAGTGGGTCGCGGCTGGTTTCCTATCGGCCCGCCAAGGACATTTACCCGCGAAACACGATCCAGCCGGCCAGGGTAGTTTAGCGCGACCCGCTGCACTCTGGCTTCCAGGGTAGAATTCAGTGATCCCAGAGATTCCAACTTTGACTTTACTCCAGGTTGATGGAGGATCTCTTAAAGGACAGCTGCTCCACTGGGTTCGAGACAACAAGGAGCTTTACCAGAAAATCCTGCAGTATGAGGTAATGTTTTTTTTCTTTTTCCCCTCTTAAGGTTTGTTGGCATGAATTTTGTTAATTTTGGCATGAAAATAATGACTTTTCTGTTTACAAAAATCAAAGAGTTTGAAGACACAAAATTCAGTCAGTCTTGTAGCTGAAGGGATATCCTTCCATCCCATATACAGTTATTTGGCTTCCGAATTATTTCCTGGAAGAGGTGGTCGCTAGACTCGAGGGTGTGCAGACTCAAATGAAAAAAAACGGGTGTGCCCCCTTAATGTGCCCAAAGTGTGCTTCTCTTTTCCCAAGTAGTTATCTTTTCCCAAGGGCACAACCTTGAGCCTGCTTGGGGTGTGAAGAACACAAAATCTTAAATTTATAATATTCTAAGTCAGGAACCCTATTCATACAAGACCACCTTGTAACCTTGTCACGTGGTCTAACTCCAAACGTTTCCCACAGCCTATAGATGCTGAGGACCTTCAGCAAACCTTGAAGTCAGCTGGAATACGCTGCTCCAAAAACCAGCTCCTCGACTTCCTGGATGAACAGTGCATCACTTTCATCCTACCGAGTTCTCGAGAGAAGCGGTTAAAAAAGCCAAGAAGGAGGAGGAAGAAGAAAACTCCCCCTGCGGCAGCTGCAGTGGTATAGTCCAAACTGGTATCTGTATCAGATGTATATGACTAATATGTATCTTGGACTGTGCCATTCTTTGTGGTGCACAGATTTGACCAATTTGAAAGATTTTAGTTAAGAAAATTAAGGCTGGCATTGCTCTGTACAGTTTTGCTAAAAGCAAATTAATTATGAACATTGGATATATTATTTTAATTTTAGGATACACATGGTTGGTAATCAGGATAATATAATTATAGCTTGTATTGTACCTATGGTTAATACCACAATCATACTTGTAATTTGTATTTTCATAACTTGAGTGATATCAAGGTTTGTTACATGGTTCATGTTAGAATTACTGTTACTGGACAGGTGTGTATTTTAGCCAGGAAAAACTATATACATGTATCATTACTACAGATACATGTAGCATCAGCTTTCTTTCATCTCATTTTGTATGCATTGTATGCAATATTCTGTAATAGACCAGTTTACCGTTCACTGATCGCATGAACTGCGTACATCACGGGGGACATTTTGAATAGAACACCATTCTAGAACTGGATTTTGCTTGTGTCCCCCCCTGGCAGATTTACTGATGTGTGTAACTTTAATTTCTGAAAGTTCCTGACCTGTGCACGCCTCTAGGAGTCTATACATGTAGCTTATCGATACTTCACTGAAGGATGGCTGTCCCCACTTTCCTTCCGCCCAATCTCACCAGATAACCATGTAACAGTGGGGGATTTATAGGTGCTACCAACTGACCTGGCCGATGGGTCTAGACCTTTTCGGCCGAGTGGTTAGAACATCGGACTGGTGCCCGGGAGGTCGTGGGTTCAAACCCCGGTCCCGGGTTTTTATCTGTTTCTACTGGCTCCTCCTGTTTCTTACAACTGATTCTGGTATCTGAGAGCAGAATGCAGACCATCGCAGTGATCTGCCAGAGGGGACATCACAAGCAAAAGCTACGTTTCAACTTCTGGATTCTAGAATGACGTTCTATTCAAAATGTCCCCCCTGTGACCCGTGAAAGGTAAACTGGTCTATTGCCACACTGCATCAAGACAAAGAGTGCCATACATGTTACCCCTGACACTCACTAATGCTGTGAAGTATAGGGTTAGATATTTGTAAGCTGCCCAGTGTTCATTTCAAGTATACAGACATAAATAGTCCTTTGCTGTTAGGAGCAGTGACAACCACCACTGGGATGTAACCGTGATTTGATATTTGGATCAATAAATATTTTATGTACAACACATGTTGCTTTTTTTTCATAGAATAAAGATGAAAATGAAAACAAGGATGTATAAGCTGAAAGATTGTTTATGATTGTATGCACCATTTTTAATCGAACTCACGACCTACCGAATGCAAGGTGAGCACTCAACCCACTTGGCCATTGCATAGTTTCATTTGATCAGTAGTGTTTCTTATCAAAAACAAAGACTGAGGTACACGTAGCTAGGGAAAAGGTATTCTTTTATTGAGAAATAGAATATTTATGGACATACAAAAAAAAACTTTTTTCACAGATATTCTGAGGACAAATGACATTTAAGGCTATAGCTACTTTGTCTTACGCTGTCTTACAGGTAATTTGTACTTATAGGTAGTTTGGCACAAAGTTTAACTTTCTGGGTCCAAAAAAATGCACCCGATTAATCTTATTCTTACAGACAAGCAAGGAGGATCAAAAAGAGATCTTTTTTAACCTCCTTGAGACAAGTACATGTATAATTATCCTCAACTATCGAGAACTCCATTATCAGATGGAATGTCTTCATCCAGGTCTTCAGATGTGATAGAGTCCTCATCCTCAACTGAAGGCTCCACAATCGTAACTTTCTTCTCTCCTTTACTCTGATTGGTCTGTTCACTCCCTGCGGAGCTCCCATTGGTTGATTCTGGAGGCTCCCCGTTTGTTTTCTGTTTGGCTTCGGCCGTCTCCCGTTTCTTTCTCTCCCTGTAGGACTTCTGCACCAGGGCAGCACAGGTCTTGTAGTCCGTCTCCTCAACTTGTTCACTCCCTGTGCAGCCAGAATATAAACTGTTCAGTTTTTCTATCATGAAAGTTCATCGGTGTTGGTAGTTACATGTTTAAAGTTAAAACTTCAGATCCAACACCTGGACACAGTAAGAATATTGGACACTGAACAAGACTCGCCAAAAGGCAGTTACTCATGAATTACTGGACAAGACTATTTCCTGAGAGGGGTGAAAGAGG